CGAGTAGCCTGAAAATATAGCATAAGTTGGAATCATCAAGAGCAACATGAACATGAAATTCGATGGACAAGGCTCAACAGGAGTCATATACTACAGAAAGAACTGCTTTGAACCCATAAATTTCTAGCCCCAGACACACCTTCACTTACTATCATGCAAACGACCCCACAACCCAAATCATGATGAAATTTGCGGTACATACATACAAAATACCATCGTGCAATTTCATAAACCCACATATTCTTCCATAACGTCTAATACCCTTATTTTACTCAAAAATGCTAATGAAACCCACACTGATGATGTTATTAAAATGATATAATTCTGGCGGAGTGCAAATCTAACCAGAAAACTACAGAGACATTAAGCTTAAGTGACAGAAAACTCACACATCCCGACTGATTCCCTAGCACTCGAGAGGCTAAAGTCTCTCCCTCACAATACTAACTAATTTCCTACCTTCTCACTAAACCGTTCTTCCCAATTATATACAGCACACAGCCTTCTCTCTTTCACCTCTTCTGTCACAAACTGCACACATTCTGCATGACTTAGCGTTGGCCCATTAGCAACGGGTCCATCAAATGCTAAATCAGCTCCTCAAAAATGCACAACATCATTTGTTCTTCCTTAAAAAGCTCAGAACATCATCTCTCTTCAATAGGAGTTTGAGTTTAGATGCAGTGATTTGTTCAGTGGAACTTTGCCATCAATGTCATCTAGTAGCCCAAACCGATTTCCTTCGCTATTGGTAATTGTGCCACCAAAGTATTCAAAGAGGACATTATAGCAGCACATGTTACTATCAACAAGCACCATGGACAGTAATTTGTCTTGCACTTGACTTTATTATAGCAGGCAAACAGAGCTAACAAATTGAACAAAATAATTTTGAAGACAGACTCTTAGATTGAGTATCCTCAAAAGATATCCATTGTGATTTTCACCTTCACACAAGAGATCCATTATGATTTTCACCTTTAACATTGTTTAAACGACCAACAGTGATCAAGAAGGAAGAAGATGAAATCTGGAAACCAGGGAAAGGAAAAAAAAAAAAAAGGGTTTTTCTTGACTTTCTAAAGGAGGAGAAGCAAACTGAGCTTTTTGACTGGGGAGAGAAATTATCAAATGACCCAGGATGTCAAGTGCCATGTGGCTCCATTAAATCTAGTGTGGCAGCTCCCATTAATGATCTAACAGTTTGACTAACAGTTGGGGATTCTATAAGTATAAATAAAAGTTAAGGAAAGTTTCCTGCCAAGCTAAAAGGATCGTTCTTCACACATCATTCAAAGTTTAGGAAGGTTATTTTAGCCAAATAAAAGAAAAGGGAAAAAATATTGACAATGGTTAAATTGGAATCTTAAAAGAGTACCATGTTTAGTTTGAGCTGCAACAGAGCGGACCAAAGAAATCAAGACCCAAGTATTCAAATTACATGACAAAAAATACAAGCATCCACAATTTTGTGCAGTCTGAACTCTAATTTGACTTCTCAAAAATAGAACCAAAGCACAACAAAATAAAGCAAATGTAGATATCATAATAAAATATAAATACTAATAACATAGGGGATAAAAATTAACAAAAGGTAAAAGAGGGTGATCCAAATGAGAACCGAAGAAATGTACCAAGATTTTCGACATCTTTCATAATCTTCCTTATGTCCAGTTCTTGATCTTGTGTATCCATATGACCACGTAAAGGTCCATGCTTACCAACTTGCTTATTCTTCTTGTACATGTTTCCTGGCACTAACTCAAAGTCAAAAGAAAGGATGTCAAGAAACAAACTATAGTAAATGTTGAAATTCTATGAAGTAATTCATATTTGATAGGGACAAAAATTGACGCCTTCATCGACCGAAACTTTCTGCCCGTGCATGAAAGTTCTATGTTCCATAACAAAATAATAAAATCATGACAATATTAATGAGCAGGCTAGAAAAGATAGAAAGCTAATATTGCATAGATAATAGGAGCTTACAGACATGGAATTATAAAATCAAGCGTTATACATTGTAAGATGCTTCCCCCCCCCGGGGGGAACAGTATTTCAGAACAATTTCATCCTCAAAACTCTCAAAAATTCATTTTCCGTTTCAGAAGAACTTGTTTATGCACAAAAGCAAACCAGAGTTGGCTGAATCCGGAAACGAGGTTGGTTCCGGTATATACCTAACAGAAATATCTGATGGCAGCAGCAAGGACTGGCGAGGCCGGCGATCGACAAAAGCTAGGCTGGCGGCTGCAGAACGATGTGGCTTGCGAGGCGCGGAAGCAGAAGAGCAGGGAGCGAGCCGGATTGGAAATTTGGTATGTACGTGCCCAAAAGGAAAAGCATGCGGGATTGGGAATTTGGGATACAATTTAACCGGGGTATTTTTCTGTGAAAAAAATACGTAGAATACAAATCTTATTTTCATCCAATTTTTTTAAAATATGTCCTCATCTAAATAAGGATACTTTTAAAAATATTTTTATTTTGATGAAAAAAAAAACCTTACTTAAATTAGAGTGTTTTTAAAATTTTAAATTATATATTATAAAAAGAAAATTTAAGGATTAAATTTTATCTTAAATATATGCTTTTCTTTTTATCATTTTTATAAGCTAATTTGTTTGATATATAATTTAATATTGTATATGCGTATTTTAGAAACACAAAGTCACATTTGTTATAATTATCTAATTTATATAACGTTCTCAATCTATTAAAATTACTTAAGTAGCCTTTTATAATAAGAATTTTAAAAAGTATTATATTTAGAAATAAATAATGCTATTTTGATGAAACGCATATTATTTTGCATTTTAGGGTGGATTTCTTTAAATAAAGGATTGGTATAACCAGATGTCATTCCCAGTGTCCGTTGGGAGAGAGATATTTACATTTATACCAATAATCTCTTAAACATAATTACTTCTAATAGATACACTTATAAAAAATTAGAGTTAATATAATATCTTGTTTCTCAAATTTGCTTTCATTTTAATTTTAGTTTTTTAAGTTTTAAACTACAGGTTTCAATTCTTTAAGGAGCAAAATAGTTTAAATTTTAATTGAATTGTAGTAGGGGTGGTAATACAAGTCAATCTATGGGTTGCAGATTGGTAGTATGGGTTAAAAAGGTTAACTTGCCAACTTTTTTTTTTTTTACAAAATAATTTCTATTTTTTAAATATTTTTCCTCATATATTATAAATAAAATATAATGGAATTTTTTGTTTTTCCTTCAAATATTTGATTGAAAGCACAAAAAAAATGGCATAGGTGTTTTTTAAAAATTATTTAGATAGGATATAAAATATAATAATATAAACATAACAATTAATGAATTTGGAAAAAAATTATAAAAAAAAAGTGGGTTAGTCCGTGGATTGATAGGCTAACCCGCAGTAGATTGTGGGTTGGACAATGCGGGCTGGGAGGTTTTGCTTGTTAGTTGGTTGGTTTTTAACCAATCCTAACCCGTGATTTTTGGTGGGTTGAACCCGATGGTTCCAATCCATATTATCAACTCTAAATTATAAGGATCAATGTTTTAAATTTTAAAAAAAATTTAAAAGACTAAAACTTATGATTTAAGATTTAAAGAACCAAGACCAAAATTAAAACAAACATGAGGGATAAAAAATTATATTAGCTCAAAAAATTATTATAGCTTTCAGGACAAAAAAGGGAACTTTTCCTTTCGCATGAGTTTTTATTTTGTTTAACAAGCGATGATTTGATTATTAGAGAGAGCGCTCGAGAGTTTTAAGTTTAGATTAAGAAAGTTGTTATTTTAAAAAGCTTTTGTATAAAGTTATTAATTTTCTTAAAAATTTATCTCTGTAAATCTTTTACATTGGTTACTCATAAGAGAGAGAATTTTTTTTAAAAAAAAATTGGTCAATTTTTAGACTAGGTTAAAAGTTAGCAGCATAAAATGATTTTTCTACATTAGTTAATGTGTGTAGTAATTCTTATACCAAAAATATGTCTGTAAAAAGCCAACCAATTCTTCAAATATTTATCCCGGTCCTCTTTTAACCGCTATAGATCGTAGGGATAAAAGAATATTTTTGTAGTAATTTTAGCCGAACAAGATGACTATGTCCTTTGACAAAGATGATTACTAGTCTTCCAAAAAGTAGATACAGGTCTGATTTTATTAGAAATCATAGAAAGAATTTTTTTATTCAATCATTAAAACCAAATGATGTAAGCTTTATGTTTTATTTTTATTTTTTATATTTTTTATCTTTCAGAAAACATGATAAAAAATTGTTGATTTTTTTAATTTGAAATATATAGTATTATTTTCTTTCTTAATAATTGATTGTAAATGCCCATCACCAACTACTATTGAATGAAATAGAAATGCTTACTACTACTTCCGGTCCTTAATATAAGACCCCGTTTGACTTTTTGTTTGGTCCTAATTATAAGACCCCAATCCATTTTCTCTCTCATATTTATGCATTTTTTTTCCAAGATAGTCCTTCTAATAATGATAGTTTTAGCCAATATACTTAATTAGTAAGGATATTTTAGGAATGACAACACTTATTTATTACAAATAACTAACTTAACATACTTCCTTAATCTCCTCAAATAAGTCAACTGGGTCTTATAATTAGAACCGGAGGTAGTATTAATAAATAAGAGTTGATCTGATTAGTAAAGAATCAGTTCATAATTTATACTCTCTAATTCTGAAAGTATACTTTGGCCTTAATAAGTCTTGAGACCCAACTCATTTAAATATTTTTTAAATTAAAAAAAAAAGACAAAATGCTTGCAACTAAGCATGAACAAATAAATAAATATGGAGCATAAAGTTAGTCAATAATTAATAGGATCGCTAAATCCCCATAAACACAAAGAATATAATATCTGTATTATATATTCTAGTGTACAACAATGCAACCTTGCCTAATATATCAAATTAACCCATGATTAATTTGATGGCTCAGTCACTATCCCAATAAATACAACAATAATAACAAATCTCTAAAATAAACAAAGCACAATATAAACTGTAAATTTTAAAAAAATAAATAAATTTCACTGACAAACTAAAACCAAGAAAGCAATCCCAGGCAAAACAATAGTCCCACAAAACATGTCATGAAGTTCTGCAGAATCAACACTGAAACAGAACCAGAAGTGGCCTTCACATTATCATCATCATCATCATCCTTATCACTTGTTGCTGATCCTTTAGGGTTTGTGAAATTAGTATTAATAATTGAGTCTGGTGAAGCATCATCAGATCCAGAAACTGGGCTTGATGCAGGAGAAGGAGAAGAATCAACATAACTAGGGTTATCTCTCAAGCTTTTTGGCAACCCTTGTCCATATGTCACATTTATTTGAAAACTTTGCCCATTCTTGCATTGCTCACCATCATAGTCACTTGAGAAGAAATAGGTCATCCCTTCCTTCACCAATGGCACGGCCACCGTCACCTGCTGGACCTCCGTGTTCGACGGATCTGAAGCCGACCATTCTGTTGTGTCTTTGTCTTGTGCATCGTCATAGTCACAGAGTTTATATGTAGTTTGGTTATATGTTTGTATAACTGAGTGATTGGTGTCTGTGTTGAAAACTGCAATAAACAATATTAACAGTAACAAGGTTAAGCGAAGCTTTTTCAAGTTGTGAAATAATAATATGCATGCAAGAAAACTCAATATCCCACTTTCAGTCTTACTTAATTATGTGATGAAGGATGAGGAAGGAGAAAGAGAGAAGAGAAAGAGAGATAGAGAGACTATAAAAGAGGGAGAGAAAGTAAAGAAAGAAGGGAAAGCAGATGAACGTAGTAAAAAGAGAAGATAGTTAAGAAAACTCAGTATTCTCAATTTTATTCAATTGATAAGACGTCTATAGAATGATATCCTGTTTGCATAGCTTCAAACCAAAAATAAGTGTCCAACATTTACATCTAAGACAAAAATATATAGATCAGGGCAAACTGGGGAAGCAGATGAAACAACTGAAATCTTGCAACTGAGAATCTAAACTGTATAAGTAAAACGAAACAGAGGATTGAGGAGATATGGAAGATTAAAAGTTACAAGCAGATCAAGAACACGGAGAAGCCCAGAAGAAGAAGAAGAAGAAAGAAAGAAAGATGAACTTACTGAGGAAATCTCCGAGGGAGAAGTGTTTGTCAGAAGCCCATTTCTGGTAATCAACATCAGCTTTCTCAAGATTGCCAAACCAACCCAGAGAATCTCCCACTGTATAGTTCTTGTAAGCTCTGGCAGATCCTGAGAAACAGAGCACAGCTACAAGAAGAAGGAGAAGCCTACACATATTTGTTAAAGCATATCCAGAGCAGGATCTTCTTCTTATGGCTTCCATTTCTTCCCTTGGGATTTGTGATTCAATGTACACACAGGTTCAGAAATGAGAATGTGAGATTGCTGGCTTGCCATATATATATATATATATATATATATATATATTTATATATGACAGAGAGAGTTATAGAATATGCATATGGCCTTTCTATTTGCTACGCCCTCGAGTTGCTAAATTACTCTGTTTCATGTTACTCTCAATAATTGATGTTCTTTTTTTTGAATGAGATAATTGATGTTCCAGTTGTTCTATTTTTTTCTTTGTTTTTTTCTTAAAAGAATGGCCACAGCATTTGTTTCTTTACTTGTAATTTATCCATTTGACTAATGGTAAAATTATTATAAAAATAATGTGGAAATATTGTATGAACTGTACAAATTAAAATGAAAACATGTCAAGTTTAAATTTTATAGATGGAAGAAAATACATGTTGAAAACATTTCTTTCTATTTAGAGCCCAGCTAAGCTCAAATTTGTTTTAGTTAATATTTTAAAACTAATTAACAAGTATCATTTTACAATACATGTTTTTTTATAATCAGTAGACTAAAGAAGGTATGGTAGATTCATATTAAGTAGCAAATGGATGGACTTATTTACAAAATTGTGAATAATTCTTCTCATGATTTATAAAAAATTAGCTAATACTCCCTCCGTTCCTTATTATAAGAGACGAATAACCGAATTACGTTGATAAAAAAAACAGTTAAAATTAGTTAAGAACAATTAATATGTAAAAAGTATAATTTTTTTTCAAAAATACCCTCATTAATAAGGAGAGAGAACAATGGTAATTTATTAAAAGAAAGAGAAGTGGGAAGGAGAGAGAGTGTGAGTTGGAGACAATAAATATGGGTAAAATAGAAAATCAACACAAAAAAGTAGAGACAACTTTTAAGTGTCTCTTATATATAGGAACATGCCATAAGCACCAAATGTCTCTTATAATAAGGAACGGAGGGAGTAACTCATAAGATCGTAAGTTTATATCTTGCTATTAATGTGAGGGATTGTTAGCGGGCTATTTGTAAATACATTTATAAGTATTTTTTGACCCTATAAGTATGTCCTGACCTTAGTATACTCTCAAGATTCAACTTACTTAAACTTTTATCCATAAAAAAATAGAAATGATTTATTTACTTTCAATCAATTTTCCTAACAAATGCATTGACACATTTTATTATTATACCTATTTCATTCAATGACTTGTATCAATGAAAAACATAAAATTAGACAAAAGGTTTAGTGTGTATGAGTGTGTGTGTTGGTTATATTGAAAAAGGCATTCATAAATGTGTGTGTGTGTGAGGAATAAAAGTTCATATCTGTTGACAGTTATTTTCATAACCTAAACAAATCAATGCAACCACTTAATTTTTGGCTATCAATTATTTGTGAGTACTGAGTATAGAGTATGGTTGTTACAGAAAGTGATACCTAAACTACTATATATATGATTGGTATATACACTTATTTTTCTATATCATTTTTTAATATGTGACACATATCAGTCATCAAATTATGTTTAGCCACAAAGTCCACTTTGAATTTGTCTGTTTACATTAAAGTATTTAATCACATCTCATGATTAAGTGAGCGAATTATTATTGTGGCTGCTTAAATAATTAAATAAATCTGTCTATTAATTAATGCTATTAGCCTACAACAATAACTTAGGTTGGTCATAGTAAATAAATCTCTCGTTCTTTTTATAATACCGTGTTAACTCTTTTTTCAGATTAAGTAAATTGGTTATAGTTAAATGTAACCGAAGTACTGGTATTTTATGGGTAAAACTTGTGGAATAAATATTTATTAGATCTTTATGAAGAATAAAATTTTTAGTGATGGATTTCCCAATCCCCTCCCCCCCAAAAAAAATATATTTTTAGAAATGACTCACAAATATTTCATTAAAATTTGTATCAGGGACTAGTAAGTAAGGTTTTATAGACAGGATTAAAGAGAGTATTGAAAAGATTAATTTGACATATGACATTTTTTTTTTTTTTTGCATAAGGTGAATGATAAGAAGATTATAAATTAAGCTTTGCCATAATGATAAATTAATCACATATATAATATAATATTCAGAAGTAAAGGACTAATTGTTATCGGAAAATCCACCAAATTATTTTATGGGAGTGAGTGAACAGTGAGATAAGTCATGTGTTTGGATGAATGTGGAAGAAGGAAGAGACCATGTGAGAGCAGTTGGATGACAACCTTTTACAATGCTTTATTATTATTCATGTGAGTGATGTATATGTCCTCTGATATTCTTAAGCCACGAGCCTCCCATTGTCGGGTTCGCTTCTCTTCTCTCCTTCAACTTTTTTTTTTTTTTTAAACTGTCCTTTTGCGTAATTTAGGCCACTTTAATTTGTTATTTTCATCTATTTACATAATTACCTTTTTCAACGCTTGGATGGAAAACGTATCCTAAGGTAGTGTTTGGATAAAAACCAAACCATGGTTTCAGAAGTGCTTTTACGAATTACGAAGTAAATATGTGGAGGAGGTTATTTCGTTTTGCGAAAAAGTGCTTCTGAAACCATGGTTTTGGAGCACCCAAACAGAGCCTAAATTAGAACTTTGAAAACAAGCTTAAACTAGAGGGCTCGCCAATACTACCTCCGGTCCTTAATATAAGATCCTGTTTGATTTTTATTTTGGTTCTAAATATAAGACCCCAATCCATTTTGTCTCTCATATTTACTCAATTTTTTCCACGATAGTCCTTCTAATAATTATAGTTCTAGTTACTAAACTTGATTAGCAAAGATATTTTAGGAAAGACAACACCTATTTAGGACAAATAACTAACTCAACTTATTTCTTTAATTTCTTTAAATTAGTCAACTGACTCTTATAATTAGAACCGGAAGTATTATAAAGCTGTTCTTATTTTCCTATAGCATGATATTTAAAGTACTCGCAAACATGTCAGCACTAGATTCAGATTCCAAACCTTATTCAAACAAAGCAAGAGACAAGGCAAGAGACGGTGTTATTGGGACAATTTGCGGTTGACAATTTTTTTTTTTTTTTTTAGTTCCAACCCAATTGGCAATTCACAATTGAATGATTTAACAGTCTCCAATTAGGCATCCTTTGAACGTTCAAGTTAGTTGGACTTATTTATAAATCGTATCAACGTGCGTATCAAATAACTTAATCCCTTTTTTAAAGACCAGCATAAAAATATGCTAAACTAGTAAAAGGTTGAATTTGATCCTATATATAAAATTTAAATTTATTTTCTCCCCTTTATTTATCTGAATTAACTTTATTGAAGACATATATTAAGGGAGTTTGTATCAAAAATTAATTTCAATTCAAATGATTTAAATTAGCTAAGTACTACTCCGATCCTAAATATAAGATCTATTTTGTAGTACAAATTATCCCACAAAATAGTTCTTATATTTAGGACTAGAGGAGTATATTTTTAGCAGATAAGTAATATAATTACCTTTCTTAATTTATTTAAATTAGTTAAATAGATTGGAAATAGTAATAAATAAAAATATAGGGAGAGGATGCTTTGAAGTTGGGCAATGGTGAATTTTCATGAACTTCGTTAATAATTTAATCTTTCTCTTCCTCTCTCCCACGTTTCTACTCACATTCTACAACTTCATAGGATCCCTTCTGAATACATCTACCTCTTCTGATTGCTCTTTAATGTTCCGATTCTAAAATACTTCTGACATTGACTTCGCAGGGTGTGCAATTTTTTTTATCCAATGCCTTTAAGAAAAAGTTACTTGCGTAGAGTCATAGGTTTTAGAGATGGACACGTGAAATGAATTATTGGGTGATTATAGCGAGGGAGTGTTTGGCAATCCTCAAAAGTACTTTTCAAAAGTATTTTTCTGTAAAACGAGATAAATTTTTTCACATATTTACTTTATAAACCGTAAATACACTTCTAAAATTATAGTTTAGTTTCCATCCAAATACCTCATAAGCAAATTTTTCAATGAAAGTATGGATCACGAATTTTAATAATTATGTTGCTCTCTAGTACAATTGTATTGTTATTTTGTTAGAATAAAGAGAAAATTAATCAAATATGGACGAAACAACACTATTTCAGTCGTTATATATGTTTTATTTTTCTTTTGTTATAATAATTTTATCTTTTCTTATCTTCACTATTTACATAAATAATAAAATTGACTAATTTTAAACTATCTCTTTATATACGACGCATATCTAGTTAATTTAATTTCTGTTATTCCTTCCCCGCACCTTTACTTCTCTTTCACAATTAGCCTCAAAATAGAGGGTCCCTCTCGTTTTTTAAAATTTTTTTTAATTCCATATACTACTTCGCTTTGCAAAGATATATGGCCTTCCTTTTAGGCTAGTGCATATTAACGTTCTTAAAAATGACTTTATCCTGGCTAATTTTTACAAAATTTCTTAAAATATAAATCAATATTTTAATATGATTTATATTGGAATATATTTTTAGTAAAAAAAATTGTTTGACAAAAATTTGTTTAGATTGCATATTAAAAAGTCAGCTTCCGAAAATTTAAATCTAAAAAGAAAACAAAATAAAAGAATCAAAAGTCAGAAAAAATTATTTCAATTTTAGTGTTCATTTTATAAACAGTATCTTGAAAGGTGGTCATGGGTTTTTCCGCTTCCAAAGATCAATTTTTAACCCTCCAAAAGGCAAAAGCTATGCCAAACGCCCTCTAATATTCTGGGTTCTTTATTTCTTTTCCTTCTATTTGATTTTTTTGTGATTAAACCAAGAAACAAAAAACCACACTGGACATTAAATCAGTTGAGATAGTGATTCAAGATCAATTGGTCGGACTGGGTTAACTCAAGATCCAATTGGTCATATTAAAATAATATAATTTAATTAAAAATAACAAAATATAACAACATCAATAATCACTAATAACAAAATATAAGAAAATATAACAATAGTTCAATTGTACTAATAACAAAATACACCAATATTAAGAATTTTGATCTTCATAGTTCATCATTAACTATAATTAATAATTATTGATACCAAAATCATCATTAAAATTCATTTAAATCTATAGGAACTAAGATATTAGAAGCTGAATAAGAAAAAATATGACTAATAATAACATAATCATCCAAACCGATTTATTATCAGTTTCACACCGATTTTTACCGGTTTACTCCGATTTGACCGGTTTGCTACCGATTCAACTCCTCTCAATTTAACATCCAAACAAAACTGGATTACTGGCCGGTTCACCGGTTTGTCGGTTGAACCGGCCAGTTTCGGTTTGGTTTTTTATTCTCTGGGTTAAACTATCCAAAAATTATTATGTTTAATAAGAGATATTTAATTATCTCCATTTGTTTGTAAGATAACAATATTCCTTAATCCCCCACAACAAAATGTACTTAGATCACCAAGTTTAGGTGAGTCTCCCGAATGGAAGTATAGCATGACAGCACAATACGAACCTTAGGACACACAGAACATGACACATTTAGGCGAAACCTTTTTCATTTTTCATGTTCCCCCCCGTCTTTTAACAAACTGAACTTTGACACATAATTAATTGGTATAGCTTGTCCACTATTCAGACTAAACTCATTTCGATTATAAATTTTGGCAAACAATAATAATAATAGCAAGTTTTCTTCATCAAATAATAACTCACACATGAACATGGGAATATAAGTAGAACATCCCATCGGACTATGAATAAAACACACCCATGGAAATACAAAGCTCACCATCAAGTAATGCCCAGAAGTTCAATTCCATCTTATAATTAAAATTCTAACAGATCTTCACCGCCAATAAAACAACAGCTAGTTGATAATTTTACTGCCATTTCTTCTTCATTCCTACAAAAGATAGCACAAACAAATACATAAGAGGAACAGGGAAATTATTGATTATTTCAAATGTTTACATTCTCAAGAGTGTCTTCATGAAACAAATAGAATTCAGAAAATGGTTTAAGCTATTTCAGGAGAAAAAAAAGTTCAGAAATTTTCAAGGGTGAGATTTTACTGGCAAGCATGATTTAAGACATTCGTGGCAAGATGTTGACTAAACTAATCTTCAGCTTCGTTGCTTAATTTCAAGGAGAAAGATTAAGGTCAGACTTGTTTTTGAAACAATGCTAGCATCTACAAAAACTTTGCTTGACATGCCCTATATTTGTGAAAATAAGGTTGGTTCCCCAAAGAATTGATCCAGCAATACTCAAAAGTTTTACAACCCCACGGGGGCCCTGTATACAAGTTCCACCGTGATAGCATGTGCATGTGATTGATATCTATAATCCAAACATCAAGCATGTGACTCAATCATCACATTTCGTCCAGAATTTAAAACCTATGTGCTCCGTGAGCAAGTGAAAGACACGATTTAGTATATTAAATTGTGCAATAATGTTGAAGGCCTGTCATAATCTTTGTTGCCAGGATTAGGGCACGAAATATGAGATGAATTTACCGTTGCCATGCCACAATAATTCAGCTACAGAAATCTGTATAGACGAAAAAATTATAATGCAAGCAATGGGGTTGCATGCTAGCAGCACATAGGCCCTTAAGATATGTGTCATTCACACTAATATGGAAAGTTCCACTGGTTACACATACGACACTTGAATAAGCATGAACTTGCACATATGAAAAATAAAACTTGCAGGCACACAAGAAAAACAGAGGCAAATATAAATAACAAACCTCATCATCATCGTCGTCACCACCATCTTCTTTATTCTTCTTCAGACGGGTGGTGCCTCCTTCCTTGCTGATGGGCAGTTTCATTGCTCCAAAGGGGGTGTCAACATTAATATTTCCTTTGATGGTATAACCTGTACCCTTTCCTCTAATCATGTCCCATAGTGCAGAACCAAAGTCCTTGGGCTTGAAGGTGAAAGGAATATCAATGTAACTAATTCCACTCTTCTCAATTTTGGCAGATTTGGTGAGTTCAGCACCTCCAATGCTAACATCAGCAAGCCAGATCTGGTAATCTAGTGCATTGAGGCACAGATCAAAATCATTCTTATTTTCCAATTTCAAATGAAGAACTGCAACAGTCTCCTCAAAGGAGAAGCTCTCAAAATGAATTTTCTCAAGATCAACATCAGGCTTATATGGTATGGGTATCTCTCCAGTTTTTTCCAGAGGAATGGTAATCCTTCCGATGACAGGAACATCCACAATGAGATCAACCTTGACCTTGTATGGTACGATGCTTCCAGGTTTAATATCATGATAAGTATTCTTTATGTCGTCATAAATCAAAGTAACAGGTATTTTGACAGTCTCTTCTCCACGTGCATGGATTGTACCTGCATCTGGTATCAATCCCGAAACTAGCTTTCTCCCATCGCTCTCAATCAAGTAATTAATGTCAATTAGAGGGATCGGTACTGGATTTGGGTTCTTTATAAGCACATCAACAATAAGTTCAGCCTTCTCAAGATTAATTGATGGAATGTGTATCCCAGTAACATCCGCCGTTGGCTTCCCAAACCCAATTGTTTCCTCGATCTTCTCACCGATATCATGAATGAAATCCTTCACCTTCTCAAGGAACCCACCCTTCCCTTCTTCTTGATCCTTGTCCTTGTGTTCGTCATCCTTAACACCCCTTTCAACTACTTCCGGTTTATCAGACGAAGACATATCTAAACAGCAGATGACAGAGCAAAGCAATCAGCTTGGGGAAGAGCCACACCACCAAAAATTCAAAGTGAACTTTCAACTAATAGTAACAAAAAGTTAATCAAATTACTGCAACTCTTCGGATCACATTAGCTAACAAGCTCTAAAGACAGATCATTCGTAGTTCAATGTTAGATCAATAGATTATGCAAAATTAAAATCCACATCGGAAATGGCCAGAAGAGGGATGATTGATCGTGATCGTGATCGCGATCGCGATCAGGGAAGTGAAAGAAGAGAGGGAGTACATAGAGAATAGAGACGCACCTGATCAACTGTGATCGGAAAGTCAAGCAGGAGAGATGATCAGCTCTTTGTCACTCAAACTTTACACTACACAGTTCAGACAATGCCTGAAGTGACGGATCCAGATTTATGCAGGGGTCGTGATGAGGGGATCGACGGTCAAAAGTGGGGAACGAGAATTGAACGATTTGAGGCCGTCGATGTAGATTGAATTTGGGAATTGGGAAGGCTCTTTGTATGAACAAATTCAATTAATATAATAAGCAAAAAAGGATAAGAAGAAATTAATATATTGAAGATGACGATGGAGCAATGTACGGGCGTCACCACCATTCACGTTGTTCAGCCGGCCCCACGGGGCCCTGTCTATCATTGAACACGGTCACCGACCACGCCTTCTATTTGGACACCTAAGCTTGTGATCAACTGATAATGAAGTGTTTAACCTTTTATTAGATTAAATCTAAAATAAATTTTGAATTTATCTCAATATTTTTTAAACTTTGCTTACATTTCTTTTTTTTTTCCCCTTTTTTTTTTAATAAACATGTCCATATTTGTCTGATTGAGTCTAGAATCTTCTTTCTTTTCTGGTGAGAAGAGTTTAGAATCTTCCACACACATAATAATTAGATGGTTGTGAAGACCCATGTAAAATGAGATAAATATATAAATGGAGTTTTATTTTAACTTACATAAAATGTGCTCATAAATAATTTCAAACGTAATATCAAACAGACCTAACAATGACTTGTCATTAACATTTCTTATTTCTTATCTTTATTTATTGTTACCATTTGGGACTCAAGGTCTAGAGTTGCCATAAATATTTGCAAACTTTGTTTACATTAGAATTGGGTTTACTATAATGTGAGTTTTATTTTATTACGTCAGAAGTGATTCATCCCACTTTTTGGCTGGTTAAAAAAGTGATTTTGACATATTGAAATTATGTTTGATGATTAAAAACCAAAAAAAAAAAACTTTTGCATATGTAATTACCTTGGAAAGGTGTATTTTTTTTATAATCTAATATTGATTAATTGAGCTGTATATGATATACTAACTCCGATCCTAAATATAAAATTCAATTTGTAGCATCAACTTATATTATAAACTAAATCTTATATTTAGGATAAGATATAGTATAATAATCCCAAATCCATCAACAAGTAAACCTTATGCGTTTGGTAAAGAAAAAACAAAAATATATACTAAAAATTTCAAAAAATTTTGTATAAAATATTATCTTTTACCTAATATTTGACTAAAAATATAAAAGATAAATGAATAGATGATTTCACTAAATTTTTATTTATAACACCTTTTTCTTTTAAAATAAATTTTTATTCTAATTTTCATCTCTTGTAATGAATATATAATTAAAAATATAATAATTTAATCATAACTAGTTCAACTTTATTTAGTAAGATAAGATTTGTGGTTATAACTGTAACCAGATCAACTGTCTAACTAAAAGCTAGTGGCTTTTAATACCTTGCAGTCCTTGCCTTCTTCCACATAAATTGATAATATGTTGACCTTTTCTTTTCTCTAGAGATGGGCCAATTAATTTATTCACACATCCAAAATCCGCCCCAGAAGAGAGATTTTTTCCCTCAGCCTCTAACCAGAGTCACAAGTTTAACGCAGAACATGAAAACCTCATCACCTTTTAAAAGAAGAAATTTCCAGCATTAGGGATGAGAAAGATGGTGAGATATATAAATGCAAAAAGTACAGTGACAGTGCAAACATGAACATGTTATTGGAAACAGAGAAAGGCGCACATCCTAGCATCCCTAAAAATTGCAGTTCAATTTCCAAAGCACAAAACAAGCAGAATTCTTTCAACACTAATAACATGATTTTTCACAATGCCTGCCAAATAATTTTGCAGTTTCAGTGGTTATGTTGAATTGGTGTGTAGAAACGAACACCGACCGCCACGCCCAAGATCATCAGGGGAACTAGAAACTGAAGCATCCTGATAATGAATTCTGCTGTCTTGTCCTGATTATAGTGAGGCTGTTTTGGAGGTGTGTACTTAAACCCGGCCGGGATGCTGGCTGAATCGATGTCTCCTACATAGAACTCATCCAACATTGCTTCAGCTGTGGTACTGTGACCAACATCCTCAAAATCTTCAGTTGCATCTTTTCCTGCAGATAAGCAGCGTTTGAGTTACATTAATCTGGTGAAACCAGGGACAACAGAATAATTATATGCATTCAGACATAATGCTTGGTAGTTGATATCTATGATGTACCTGTGGCTGACAACAAGACCTCATCCCCACCTGGATGGTCCTCCAAGAATTTTGTGACATCATAAACCTGTTCCAAGGAATTATGTCAAGGTACTGAAAGATATCCGACGAAAAGCTGTCGTTAATCACAACTTGACGCAGGGGTTTGGTTTAGTTTATTTTTAATGATTTTACATTGTATGAGATAAATATGTAAGAGGAGTTTTATCTCGTAAAGTACAAAAGTAATTTTTTGAGGGGATGCCATGGGCCTATTAGTTACAACGTTTAAAGGTCGTCTTGACTTGGTTTCTAGTTTAATCAAAAGCTTATCAAGCCTTCTAAATGACATAATGGCAATTTTTTAGACCCCACAAGCACATCATTGCTCCCCAGCAAAAGCTTAGTAGGTGTAATTATGATGCAACACAAATGAGAATGAGGCATACTGAACCTCAGGAATTGTACATATTATGACCGAGACGTCAACATTGGATATCTAAATTGACGCATAAAGTATAGCTCACAGCATGTGTGAGAGAGGTCAAGTAGGAAGACTCTGAGTAACTTAGGTTTTTCTTATTTCCAAAGCTGCCATGCAAAAAGAAGCTCTAGTGGACTAAAATTACCATAATGCATCAACGCAAAAGTGACCAAGAGAACCACCCCAAAGCCACATCATCTTAGCCATATGTACCAAACAAGACTTTTGGGCAGGACCTTAGGGGTATGTTATGCAGAACGAAGGAAAGAGTAGTTGGAGAATAAATGACAAGTAGTCTATCTATCAAAGCATGCACCTTTAGATACAAAGTCAAATTCTTGGCCGTTACTTCCACTCCATACACTCACTCCTACCAAATAAATCAATCATGCCTTATTTCCAGCCTGACCTTCTAACCATGCTCTCCTTTTCAGTACAACTAACTCCAACTATACCAAGCAGCAGAAGCAATCACCCAAAAGCCAAATCGTGTAAATTAGGGGGTAAGTAAGGAGTTTAACACCATGAACAAGCCAAGAAGCACTGATATCAGCACACATAACAACATAATCTTAACATATAGTGCTTCAATGCAGTTCTCTGTCGTCTCATGGACACAATAAAATGAGTTATTGTTGAAAGCATCAAAGAGGAGCAAGTCAACCAAAAATCCATATGATCAAAAACAAAAAAAGAAATACTGCATTCAAGTGCAGATTCAGCCGATTCGACATGATGCTCACTGGATCCAACTGAGTCATTGCATGAGTTGATTCCCAGTGAATCTCATTCCAGATTTCCAAAGAGCATCGAAGTAAAATCAAATTACACACACTAAAACCGCAAACCCAATTATACATTGGACAGATAGATAGATAGATACCTTGCCGCCAATGATGATCCAGCAATCGTGGCGGTGGTTGTGCTGAGAGACCTCAGCTAACGTGTAGGACTTACGCCCGGTGCCCATCTTCAAGAAGAGACCTTTTAGAAGGAAGAAACTGAAAAAAATTTTCAGAAATGGGAAGACCCCTGAATCGGAATTTAAAATGAGTTGGAGATGAAGGTTGGTGGAGTGCGCTAACGGGGTTGGTGAGGGTGAAGTGGTTTTGTCGTCACCAACTACCCTCCCCGCTCCCACCCTTCGGACTTTTGGGTGTGTATGAAATATGAAATTGAAATTACATAATACTGTGTAATTCTGGATTACATGGCTCTACTCAACTTTCCAACTTCCAATTATATTTATCGCTATGTTTGGATTCTCTCAAACCTCAATCCAAACCATGTTATAATAGTCTCAGTACAGTTTATGAAGAAGCTAGCTAGGTTTATCCAAACCAGGCGTCATCGTTGGCAAGTAGATTCATTCTATTTCTACCCTTTTTCTCCATCGTTGAACTTTAGTTTGAAGAAAGGCCACGTCACCTTCTGAAGGATAGAGAATTTATATTACATAATTCATGAGCATCTTTCATTTGATTATATTAAAGGATTAAAATTTAAAAATGTTTTTGTCGTGAAAATGAAATTTAAACGTCTCAAACTCTCCCTTCAACACGGATTCGCAGGTGTGGACTAATCATGCGTCTAGAGAAGGCATTACCATAGCTGAGTATTTAGAGAAGCTTTTTCGCTGGGGGGGAAAAAAAGCTTTCTTATAGTATTAACCAATCTCCATCCATCTGCCAAGAAAGTGGTCGTTGAGTAGAGGCTATATCTATGAACGGGTATTCTTTTAATTTTCTTGAGACAATAAATTTCAAATTTTCATTCAAAAAATTATTCCTCACATCCTAAATATAAGACCTTTATAGTATTTATAAGAGTTTTATATTTAGGACCAGAGGAGTATATATATAATAAGAAGAAGCTAGTATACATAAATATTATGTATAAATAAAGTATAGTACTCCTCCGGTCCTAATTATAAGACCCAATTGACTTATTTGAGGAGATTAAGGAAGTAAGTTAAGTTGGTTATTTATAATAAATAAGTGTTGTTATTCCTAAAATATCCTTACTAATTAAATATATTGGCTAAAACTATCATTATTAGAAGGATTATCTTGAAAAAAAATGCATAAATATAAGAGAGAAAATGGATTGGGTCTTATAATTAGGACCAAATAAAAAGTCAAATTGGGTCTTATAATAAGGACCGGAGGAGTATGTTTTAATTTCTAAAAATTAATAAGCTAATAATACACACAAAAAAAGGATCAGAATAATACAGTTGTGTACAAATTTAATCCTTCCTCTATTTTCCTCATTATATTCCAATATACTTCCTTCGGTTTTAAAATATGAGATAAGCTTTATTCATTTACATTTATTAATAAATTAGTTAAAATTAGTTTAAAACAATAAATGTATAAGCTATGTATTTTTTTTTCCTAAAATATATCCTCATAGATAAACGTGAATGTTATTTTATAAAAAACCAAACCCCTCCAAAAAAAATTTAGGAAAATAACAAAAAATACCTTTTGAAATTTAAAAAGACAAATGGGTCATGTAAATAAGTAAAAGGACGAAATAGACATGAGGTAGGAATCTGGGATTTGCAAAGTTTGACGAAAAGACTAAACTACTACTAAAATAAAATGAAAAGCATCAACAGGTTTTGCAGAGTAATTGACAACTTTCAAATTGAATTTAACTATTTTTATAATATGTTTTGCAATTTGTTATTGGCCATTGACAAACTAAGTGAAATTCAAGAAATTGAGTTGAACAAAATTACTAAACATGTAACGTGACTAACTACTTATGAAATGAAAGTACCCATTTCCATAATATATTTTGTAACCTGTTATTAGCCATTTTCAAACAATTTTACTAAATATATAGTGTGATAAACAACTTGTAAAATGAATTTCATGATGCATTTTGCAACCTGTTATTAGTCATTTTCAGACAATTTTACTAAACATGTAACGTGAGTGACAACTTACAAAATGAATATGACTATTCCATAATGCGCTTTGCAACCTGTTATTAGCAATTTCTAGACGATTTTACTAAACTTGTAATGTGATTGACAATTTGCAAAATGAAATTAACTATCTCCATAATGCATTTTGCAACTTATTATTAGTCATTTTCAAACAATTTTACTAAATGTGTAATGTGATTAACAACTTACGAAATGCATATGATTATTTTCATAACACGTTTTGCAACATGTTATTAGTCATTTTCAAATTTGGTGCAATTTTTTTGGGAGGCTAAGTGATAAAGCCCAATTTTTATATATTTTATCCCTCATTAATTCAGGATTTAAATGATAATTTTGAGCTTAATTAGACTTTTTATGCATTATTGAATTAATTGGTTGATTTTTGGATTTTGCATAAAAATTGAGATTTTGGATTAAAAATATAAATATTTTGTGCTTTCCTATTTTTGACTTGGAATTAATTTTTCCTATTTCTTTTGAAAACAAGTCTCATATTTTTAGAAAGATTATTTTTAGAAAGTTTTGCACTTTCTTGCCTAATTCTTGTGCAGATTTAATATTTAATTTTTAATTATATTTGGATATAATCTACATTAATGGATGCACTCAAATTCTTGTAGGTCAAGAAAGGGGCACATAGGAAATCCAATGGTGCAAGATTGTTTCTTGGAATCTAAGCACAATCTAATGGCTAATATCAAGTGGGTCAATTAATTACTAATGGGCTTGAGTTTTGGATTCAGAAAAATTTCCTTTTCTCCCATTAGAATAATTTCCTTATTTGAGAGGACAATTCAACGCCTAGGACCCCTCAATCATCCACCGTCATATTATTTTTATCCTTCTCCATTGAACGCAGGAAAAAGGAGACTTGAACGTCAAATCCTCCTCCTTCACCACTACTTCTCTAGTCTCACGGCCTCTCATAATTCCTTGATTCCATTCCATACCGCAACATCCACCTCATTCAATTGCTCCACGCGTGCTTCACCAACTTGAATCATCCACCGTGCGTCACATGCCGTGAATTGCACCAAAGAGCTTGGAGGAGGAGACAATTTGATGGAAGCTTAAGCTTACAGGGAGGCAACTTGGAAGGAGCATGAAGGAGACTTGAGCCTTGGGCTAGCACTTGAAGACCACAAGGGAGTGATGTTCCATTTATCTTTTTAATTCAAGGACTTGAATTTATTTAGTTTTAAATAATTTTAAGTTGTAATTTTGTGAGACAATTTAGTTCTAGATTGTCATCTTTATGCTTGGATTGGATTGATATTTGGATTTTATTTGTGTTGAGACACTTGTTGGAATTTATGTTTAGAACCCTTGCATTGTTAATTGAATTTATAATTGAGTTTTCATTATGAGTTTAATTATCAATGTGGTTTGAATTGCAAAATTTGGGTTCTTTGCCTCTTAATTGTTTAATTAAGTTGGTTAATTGTATAATTGTTTAATTGGATAATTTCAAACATAATTTCCAAAATTAATTGAGTTAATTTTCATTGGTTTTAATAAGCTTAATCAACCAACCTTATACTGTTATGAGTTCTCTAATAGTTTAAGGGCTTTTGAAATTGAGGGTTCCCTTTGTTTCAAGTAGGTAATTAAGTTTATTAATTCCACACTCTTATCACTTCCCTTTGGTCTAATTAACTGATTAAGGTTATGAAAGTTAAATCCATGCGAATCCTGAGTTGTTCCCTCTACCGTACCTGAAGAGAAATCTCTGAATTTTTACTTCTTAATTTTCTTTGCTTTCTGATTAATTTTTTCTTTATTCATTATTTTTATTTTCCTCCAAAAACCCCCCAAAAATTGCATTGCATTCATTTAGTTTAATTTAATTTTCATACATATTTTAGGGCATTTGCATCTTGCATTTAGAATTAGAATTTGCATTTTAGTTTAGGTCCAATTTATTACATTTTTTTATCACCTGAATTTTTACCTAAAGAAACCCATAACTTGCTCCTTGGAAGTAATGACCTAGGTCGACCCTAAACTACAAATTAGTTGGGACCTAGTTTAATTGAGTGCTTTAACGACAGAGGCATCATCACTAAGTTAGACAAATTGACTAGAAATGTAAGTGATTGATAACCTGAAAAATGTATTTTTAACCATTTTCATACTCTTGACTTGGTCAATTTCACCAAGTATAACCTCTTAGGGGAATTAAACAATGGGGTAAATGTTTTGAGGAATCAATATATGGGAGACAAATTGATCAGAAATACATCATAATAACTTTTATGATTTTAACACTTGCAATGAAATTCACCACTAAAACAATGGTATTTACCAAAAAACCGACAACCTCATGACAACAATTGTATTACATATATTCAAATGATAAGTTCACAATACGATTAAACCAACACTTAATATTTTATTGTCATTAAAGTCACAAAACATATTACGTTCACTATACATTATCTACAAAATGAATAGCTTGTTTACCAACAAACCCATCATCACCTAATGACTTTAGATGATAGGAGTAGTCAAAAGGACCAAGAAAACAATGAGAATCACTTCTGTCGATATACGTGTAACTAAAAATAGAAGACTTTGATATGGAAAAATAGAGACTTTCTATGGCCAGAATGGAAGAAAACTTTGATTGGAAAGATATGTTTGTCTATGCGATGCCGATGAAAAAATCATTTCAAGTTGTTTAAGGACTTTGCAAGCAGTAAGTCCGAAAAATAGAATGCCTATAACAGCATCTACTTTGCTGCTATCATGGTTGAGGAAGGAGAAGATTTAGTAATGTCTTCCCTCCCTCTCTCTCTAAAGAAGATGACCTACAGTTGCTGGTCTAATTTCCATGACTTCCTTCAAGGAAATCAGAAATAGAAGCAACAAAGTTGAGCTCTCTCTATTTAGCTTAAAGGGAAAAATTTTTACAATGACTGTTCCTTGACGAAGAAGAGGATTTGAAAGGAGAGAGAAGAACTCTCTCTCTGTTTCTGCAACATGAAGAGAGAAAGAAGCCAAAAAAAGAATGAGAGAAAATGTATAGAAATAATTTGTTAAAATTTATAAATTCCAATTTAATATCTGGAGTTTTATTTGTTTTTTGTAAAATTATAATGACTAATTCGAATTTTTGAATTCAAGTGGTATTTATATGAGATTTTTTCAAAAATTTATCTCATCTTTTAAATCAGAAGGAGTATTATATTAAATTAATGTCACGAACACCAAACACTCATTACTTTTGTATTTATTTTTAATTTTTAATTATCAACGGTGGACGTTCCTATGTTTGCTTTTATCTTTTCTTTTTCTTTTTTTGCCGTCTAATGGGGAATAGTTATGAGAAATAATCAGTAAACCAAGACGCAATCAATAAATTAGCATTGCAAACACCAATTCTCCGATATAAGAAGCTCTGCAATTTTCTCAACCATCACTCACAAAGGCAAACCAAAAAAAATGCCTTGGTGTTGTTGAAGTAAACTTAACCAAAAAGGAAAAAAAAAAAATAATATGAAGGGATTCAAAACCACAGAAGGCATGAATCCCCACCACAAAACAATAACAAGCCATGTTCTGCTCTCACAGTCTTACATCTTCACACTTATAATACAACAACTCAAAATAATTACATCTTCACAACTCTAGAGACTGATGATTTTAAGGAGAACCTTCATCTCATGTCCCTAATGGAGCTCTGTCATCTGGTCCGGCAAGCATGATCTGCATTTTTATGCATTCAAAATTCAGCAATGGCAATCAAAAGAATTAATACTGTAAAAAGTGTGCACTTTATCATGTTCAATCATCATATCACATTCCCATTCAACCAATCATGGCAAGTTCAAAATAAATATGCACTTTATCCTTATTGTCATTTTGCAAAAATCAGTTTAGACCTTTCTGGGACATTAGATTCCATACAGTTCAAGGAGTTTCAGTCTTGTTTGGTTCAAGATTTCACGAGGGAGTGAGAGTGAACGACACTTACACGAAATGGAAAGCTTAAGACAGGATGAGACTGAAATCTGTTGAGTCCCACATTGGGGAGCCTCACAAATGAAGGGTGCGTAAAAATACATGGGGATCTTCCACCCACCATGCTAGTCTTTTGATCGTAACAAAATCTCGACATATATAGAATCCAGACCTCTATTAGTCCTTACTTATTCATGAAAGCTAGGTTTCATTCATTGCTGACCTTAAAAATTTCAGTCTCCTCAAGTCATTGCCATCTTAATCCTCAGAATACTATAAAATTGTTCAATATATACGTGTAACAGACTTTAAATGGCAATTACCCATTGATGAATGGTCAAGTTCCAACAATTTTTTACTTTTAATTTAAGGAACAGTTTAGAAAGGTCAGAACCACGTACATTACAGTCAAATGCAAACCTCCTTGCAAGCATGATAACTGCATTCCTTTCTCGCTCTGATTCGAATGCTAACACAAATGTTTGGCCCGGCTTTGCTTGCCAAAATAGTGCTTGTGCTGCGGCATTTCCACCTCCTCGAACTCCACAGAGCTATGAAAAAACAATAACAACAATGAACAAAGCTTGTTGGCCGGCCATATTAAGTTTATAAGGGACACAATAGAATTGATTAACAAAAAAAGTCAACTCTAATGCAAGGTCAGGTTCCTACAAAACCATGAGACTTGTTTGATCATTGACACAAAGGTCCCGTTTGGTAAGAAGCATTGAAAATAAGGGATTAGGATTGGGATTGCAATTGAAAAAAATCATTAGAATAGTATTTAGCATGGGTAATTACTTATTATATGGGATTAGGCAAACTCATAGAGGTGGGATCAAAAAATACCACTTCCCCCATAGTATTCTCTAATCCCACATACATAGGTTTGACTAATCCCATATAACAAGCAATCTTTCATACTAAACATTCTTTTAATAGATTTTCTCAATTGTAATCATAATCTCAGTCCCTCATTTTCAATGCTTTCTACCAAACGCAACCAAAAGGCTTGCCCACCTGGTCTCTCTAGGCTAGGTTGGGCGACACAAGGATCATCTCAATCTTGAGAGGAAAAATGACAGTCATTTTAATAGATTCTAACCATTAAATCAATTTAAACAGTATAACTTCATTAAAACAATTCTTTATCTTCAGCAAAAGAAGAAACTTAGACAATCATCACCAACTAAATGGCAAAAATCTGCTCAAAATAAGTCACTTTCTAGCCTTAAATGAAGAAAGTCTGAATTGAATTTTGGTTGGGCCAGCCCTAACTGACAGGGTTTTTGTCTATAACTAGGATGCCATGCAAAACTTGAAATACCTGCATTGAAGATGAATAGTATTCTTTGGCAATTGTTGACTTTCCTTTACAAAGTTTCATCCTCATCTTTCCAACATGAAGTACATGAATAGACTCGGTTGAATGATGTAAACCATTCATTTGACTTACAACCACCTGTAACGTACAAAGTGTTGAGTACAATTATGATATTATTGTCATAAATCCAATCATCCATAACTTACAGCTTAAACTATTATATCCAATTGCACAATATGCATAACAATAACAATAACAAATGATATGTACATATAATTTAGGACCAATAGCTCAGCAACATCTTATATTGAAAGCTCATATAGACTAAGCCAATTACAAGAACGAAAGTTAAGAGTCAAGGTGACATACATTGAATTCAGTGTCATGCTTTCGCACAAGTGCCTCTACATAGTTTCCCAAACCGGCAGCTGCGCAAAAGAATATTATACTAATGTTTTAGCTTCAACTTAATTGCATAAAGAAATATGTACATTCTTAAAATTGCGCAAAACATGAGGAGGTAGAAATTTTTAAATTGAAAACATATAGAAACCATGCCTATTGATGAGTACTAGATCAAAGTGCTTGGTGGAGATTCGGAGTTAGCACCAAACCTGGATCTATCAGACCAGTTGTTGACAAGATGATGTGCTGGTCTTCTGAGATAATATCAACTTCCAATTTACGTCGAACATCGAAAGGTTCAGGGGCATACACTGGTTTCGTGGCTCCTGGAAGAGAGAAAGTTGTATTACATGTACTAACACCCTGCAATCTCAAAATTGGAACAATACAAAGCTAACAAAATAAACCCCGCCCTT